AAAATTTGTGTATCACTAAGAAAATAAATTGTTTTTCTTATGTAAGTAATTACTCAATGTCGGCGTTACTAGAGGAGAGGTGGAACATGAACATCTATCCCTTATAAGCACTACATAATGAGTCTGGTATAAAAAAATCGCCCCAGAAGATATGCTAAGCCTCCACAGATCCAAGAAACTTAGAAATTCGTATTTGCAAAGTATTCCTCATTTTCGAATCGCTAGTGGCATTTGCAGATTTCAATTTCTATTATTTTAACAGATTGCTTTCGAAATCCTCAATAGTTTTTTTTGCATACGTAGTTCTACAGTTTCTCCATGCATTACAGACTTGTTTGTCCTTTAAGGACTATGCGACAATTCCAACAGCCCTTAATTTCCAACAATCATTAATTACTGATTCTATTTGAACAAAGAATTAATATAAATACAAGACTGCCCTCAACAATCGAGCACGCATAGAGTTGCCCGAAATTAAAATTTCCAAAAATTTAGATTTAGTACTCCCACGTGAAGTTGGCCACGAAAAAGGGCCGGCTATCGGAACTGAATTAACATACCGGGTTCTGATTTTCTGAATTGTACCTCCGTGTACCAAAATTCTTCTTCATTGTACTCCTGCCATTTTTTCGAAATTCTAGGCCAAGACAAATTTTGAATAAATCGCCAAATGATTAATGCATGGTGAACCTACCATCAATATATACTCAAGATGGAACACTTCATAGAAAAATCCAAGATTGGATATAGACTGGTTCACTTTTATAAAAAGCAGCCAAATAAGCGTTTTTTACTAATTTGGACCTGCTGAACACGAATATCGATGTTGGCATCTCGAAATCTGAACAGGAAGTTCAGAATTCAAGATGGCGGCCAATTTCCGAAAATGTTGATCTTTTCACTCATGCGACCGATTTTTTCGATCTAAAAACGAATTATAATGTTATTCCGGACGGAGGTACGGCACGATAATAATAGTGAACAAATGTTTAAACAATGATTCCATAGTTTTTCTTTTCTAACGTCAAAGTGTGTAAAAGTGGAAACCTTTTTTTCATAATACTATGGCTACTGTTTAAATTTCTTCACATCATGTAATTATTAAATTATTTCTGTTTTGGCAAGCATTTTGGTTCCTGTGCGTCGTGTGATAGATATCCGCGATGTTCAGTTACCTCACATTTGGAAGAATTTCCTTTCATTAGAGGAAAACAAAAGAAATCTGATCGAGTTCTTGTCGCATCACCTTGAAGAGGCCTCATTTGACGGCGTACTGGTGATTACTGGAGGCTTCAGTGATGAAAGAAAAGTTTTCTGTAACCGTCAGACGACACAGATTTCCTCCTTAGAAGCGGAAGCGGATACTAGGATAACGCTACAGATACAGATGTATTTCTGTTGCTTTTTCATCACTTCAAGAAAATACTGGCAAACTAAGTTTGGTTGCTGACCGGTACTTCAAGAAAGATAGTCTTTGTTCCTATCCATAATGATGAACAGAGGAACTGACCAAAGGGAGTAGTAACGAATATCCTTCTTTTACGCTACCACATGAATAGTGCTGTCACGTCATTGCCGTTGTGAATTTCCACGCTTGGATACATTTATTTTTATTTATTTATTTATTTTTGACCTTTTATTTAAGCAGGGGGGTTTCAGGAAAGGCTGGTCTACCAACCCAGCCCACTAGACATTTACAAATATCTATATCCGAACCCGGATATGAACCAGTGAGTGTTTCCAAAGCGCTCTCTTTACTGTTCACGCTGGGCATCATACCCCATCATAAATGTCGCTCAGACTAGCATATCTATCCTTAATTTTCTGGGGAAAGAATTGAAAATGGCTACATTCCCATTCTCACAACGTTAGATTAATTCCGAAGGCTGCTCTAGATATCGTCCTTTGTCGTTGTAAATAGGATTGCTCGTCAAAACTTTGTAAAAATGTCGCAAGGCTCAATTGATTTGTACTACCTAATTCTCAAGAAGACGATTGACTTAACACCATGAGAATAAGGTGTTAATAAATTTGTATTCACTTTTCTATGTGCTTTCATACTTTAATAATAATAATATATCCCGAGTAGCGGTAATTAATAGCTAGCAAAATAAGAATCTTCCGAAACACCGCAGTTTAGTTGAACTCCTTCATTTTTTTCATATAAAAATTAACATAAAATTCGAAAGATTGTAGTTATCAAAACTTTACAAGGAGAATTATGCAATATAAACGCATGTCGGGAATACTTATATATGGCAGGATTACTAGAAACAATCGTTTTGCAAGTCCTCCTTTTGGCAGGAATTTCGTAATTCTTAATTTTACATATCCTGCTGCTAAAAAAACTATTACATTGTTGTAAAAAAAAATTAGCTATTATTATCGTGACGTACGTCAGGAATAACATTATAATTCGGTTTTAGATCGAAAAAATCGGGCGCATGAGTGAAAAGATAAACATTTTCGAAAATTGGCCGCCATCTTGAATTCTGGACTTCCTGTTCAGATTTCGAGGTGCCAACATCGATATTCGTGTTCAGCAGGTACCAATTAGTAAAAAAAGCCTTGTTGGCCAAATGTTGTCTGAAATGCCCCTAGGACAGAGAAACATCGAAAAGTGAACCAGTCTAATATTTAAAATTAATGTTATGCTTTGTGTCATTTGTGGGTCATTTGTGTTAACGGGGATAAAGGCAGATTACTGACCAAAATATTTACTGTTCACCACCAATAACATGCGAAAATTTGCTTAAACCTGTAGCATTAATAATAATAATAATAACTTTATTAGATCATAGACCAAAGGTATGTGGCATTGATCAAGTCAGTAAAAAAAACATATAGTATGTATAAAACAAACATGTATTGGATTGACAAATAAGTTAAAGGATACAGGTACAGATATATAAACCAAAATGGAAAGACAGTACAAAATTTAAAGGCAGAAGGCTTCAAATTCTGCATTTGATTGGGTATTAGGGGTCCCCTCCTTCCATAGCCTAAGGATCTAACCTATATTTTTTACGTTGGTATTAGCAAAATGTCACTTGAAAGTGAAATAGAATTGCAGCATGTACATTGGTAAATCAGTTCTACCATTTCAAAAATGTTCGAAGAAAATTTTGCACTTCCGACCTTCATGAAATAACTTTCAGCTTGTAAAATGCGCTAAAACAGTTATCAGTTTATAACTTCCTGCTAGGGGTGTTTTAAATAATGTTTAAGAAAATATGCTTGGATATTGCAACCATGTGCTTTGAGGATTTATACTTTTGCCGTACTCTAAATATTTTGCTTGTTTAATTATCTCTAAAGGATCCACAAACAACTAATTTTTAGGAAAATCGCTTTGTTATGGTAACCATCTATTACGCAAGGTACCTATTCAAAATTCAATACATCCTTCCTGTGAAATTAAGTAAGATTCGCAATATTCCAGAACATTCCAAGGATGTCCTTCGATTCCTATTAATATTTTAGGGTAATATTGTATGAAAAATTAAGATCACAGCCACAATTCATTTGGTTCTTAATTCCACAAGTAATAACTCCCTATCCGCCAAGTAAGATCTACTATTTGTGTACATACAGTACATTCAAAGTTTCAACGTTTTCTTTCTAACACTATCCCGAGGCGAGTGGTCCAACCTCCTCCTAGACACCTAGATCATTGGTTATAATATTTTTTGTCATTTTAGATGATTTTGACAAAAACATTTATTTGGCATGTGGTTACTGGATTATGGCATCGATTTTTACTACAGAATCGATCAGGTTCGTAGTAGGGGTGTTTGGTCAGGATTACTTGTTCCATAAAGATCCGCATACAGAAGATTCGCATACGGGAAGCTCGTCATCGAATGTATATCGCGCACGATCTTCCGAGGGGAATGAAAAACTAACTTCGAACAATGTCATATTCACGTGCAGTTCTTAATTGTTGATAGAGGTGGCCAGTTCGCCTACTCCTCTCCGCTTTTTTAGTTTCATTAAAAAATGTTTGGTAATTTTGCCCATAAATGCACTGAGCATACATGAAATTTTTCCTATTTGACCAAGAATTATACAAACTTCGGGAATAAGACCGTGTCAACGTTGAACTAAAAGTCAACGTTTCGCCACTTTCGTAAGGGGGGTCACCATGACAAGAAAGAATTAAAAATAAAAATTAAAAAAATATGGGCCCTATCGGAACTTTGGATTCGTTTTTTTACGAATCTAGGAAGAAGCGTTGTTCCATTCTTTTATGGCTTATTGTTGCTGAGAACTTAACGAAACGCCCACAACTTATTTGTATGAAGTGACTGTTGTTGTTGCTATTCTGTTACTTCTACCATCCAATACGTATCGCTTATTCTGTTACAACCTATACAAGATGAACCCCGTAATCATTTTCCGGAAAATTGACAAAACACGCTCGAACACGTTCAATTTGTAGAAAAAGGAGTCCAAATTTAAGCTCATTTGCAACTCTTACATTTCATTCTATTGGAAGGATTGTGACTTACACCTTTAAATAATATGTTATTTCGATAGTTGCCGTAAACATTTCTGACGGGCATTTGGCGCACAATGTTTTGTTTACTTCTCAATTAAATGAATAGAAATCAATTTCAAAAATCATGTAAGTCTATCTCTACAAGCACTACCAAAGAATTAATTACAAGAACCCCCTTTTTGATATTTCATCATTAACAATATTGATTTGTACATTTCCATAGCACCAATTACGAACCATATGCTTATCTAAAGTAGCCCATTTTGAAAGATAAAACATTTCAATTATTTTTACTGTACCCTAGATTGTGTATATTCACAGTTCCATGTGGAAAATTGACTAATATTATACTCACGTACCTTTGTACTATAAATAAGCTTCATACTTCAGTACTGTATCTATGTCCGCTGATTACCTATAATCTTCAATTTAGATGAAAACGAATGAATGAATATAAATTAAATTGTTGACAAGAAATTAAAATCCATTGACTTTATTAATATGTATTTGGGTCTTGTAACGTTCTTCCTCATCATTAGTTCATTACACATACCGTAATGACTCACGCATGATCGATCGGGATTGAATCACTTTCGAATCGTTTGGTTATTGAGAAATTAAGTAACAAACCAAGAATTTCACCTAAACAATAACAATTCCAACTGTTTAAATTCTCTTAAGCAGAAATGTATGGGTGTTTTCTGTGATTTCAAAATGTAGTAATCCAAGTTTTCATTGCAGAGTGGACACAATGGTTCGTTTGCTTAAGGTTTCTTGAATAGTCGGAAGATTTACTGAAAATTTGGTAACCTGACGGTTCGGTTATGTTGGTGGGAAGATCTCCTGGAAGATCTACACCTATAAGACATATACCCCAGTAACGTTGTACTAACAGAATTTAAGGGTGCGCCGAAAATTCCAAAACGATTTTCGTAAACCGACATACGTGCATGTATAAAAGTACTTACCTACAACCTAATTCATTATACAGTTCATGTACACGATAGTATTTTTAACGACTTCATTAATACAGAAATTGTTCAAAACTCATTCATTAAAATTCATATTTAGTTGTCGCTCTTACTACACTATTGTGGACGTAACGAACACGTTTCGCATTTAGCCGTATCGGTACATTAACCCTGAATCAATTCCATTCTTGCGCTCTCTCAGGAAAATTGTTTCAAATAAACTTTTTTTGACTATTAAAATTGACGATCCGATAAAGATATAAATGGCGCTTTCATTGACGGTCGTTCGTAATAACTAACCTATTTTAGTAAAGTGCTTCGCGGACAAAGTGGATATATCTTTTCAGATGTAGTGAAAATGTGACCTCAAATAAAGCGAGGAGAATAATGGATGTTTCCCAAGAAGAACGAACAGTTCAATTTTCTAACTCAATCGCCACATTTATTGAGATAATATAGGTCCTAACTGCGTATGTCGAACGCCGCAGGCAGTGCGACACCCGCTGACATATTACGATGGAATCCATGTAATTTGGCAGACTAATGAGACAGATTCATAGGCTTTCAATGATATGAAGTCACCGCTCCTGGGAGGTGAGCTTAAGGTGGGATGGGGGGTTGAGGTGCCATTTTTTGATTTTTAATGAACATGAAAAAATATGGAAATGAAAACTAATTAAATATTCTATAAAATTGTTTCTATACACATTTGTCGAGATTATTCGTGATTGAGTATTGATAATTCTACCCTCAAAACAAATGCTGCTTTAAAACAATTGTCACTTTAAATATATATATAAAAAAATCTCTACTTTGGTTAATTCCAACCTTTGACTTTTGACTTAAAATTTAATAGGGACCAAGAAGAAGGTATATACCATTTCTTAGAAGTTCGCTTGGAAATTTTCCATCTTCTTTAGGCAAACCAATTGGAAATAGTTTCCAGTTGCAACGGACCCTACACTAAAGCCCCAATATTGGGTGCCATTTTGCAACGGAACCTTCCTTGATGCAAATAATTTTTTGACACTTCCCCTTTGTTTCGGTAAAACTGGAAATTCCAACAATAAATAAAACTGTATTACTGGAATTTACTTAATTGCCCTTCCTTACGTTAGAGATCTCCTTCTCTTTTATCTGAATATTGCTACAAATGGGTTTTTTGTAACACTAAAATGCCAAATTGCTGTATATATTATATTGGGAAAAATCAGATAATATTATTGAATATTTTTTTAAAAATTTATCGAACTATATTAAGT